TGGACCTGGCATTACCCATCTGGCCTTTGGGGCAAAAAGGTTGGACACTACTGATCTAGCTTGTTGACTGGGAAAGGAATATTCATTTTTCTCCCCTTACGTGTATGCTTTTACGCTTCTTTGTAGGATGTTAGTATAGAAGCAGTTTGAAAGGCTGAGGAACCATTTCAGAAGAGTGTTGAGAAACATTCCCCAATATATGCTGTCAATTAAGCTCTTTTTGCCAGTAGCAGAGTTTGGTTTTGGATGGTGCTCAGTCTGTGTTCATAAAACAGAAGTCTGTCTTACTGGGGTAGATCAGCATGCTTTCAGTGACTTTAGTAGTACTAAGCCAGCTTGCACCAGCTAATTCATAGATTTAAGGCCATTATCCTTATCATAAGCTAGTCTGTAAAATTTTATAGTCAGTGTGCAAGGCAATGTGGTTCCTGCATAAAGCTAATTAGTAACCTGGAGCAATGGTTCCTCATTCTTCCTTGGAAAACACCTCTTCCACAAATCTATCCTAATGCGTTATTTTTCTTTTGAAAAAAAAAATCAGCGTCAAGGCACATCTCAGACAGCCAACGTCTCAGAGTATAATGCAGCAGCACTTATGGAACTCCTGCGTGAAAAAGAGGAACGAATTCTCGCTTTGGAAGCCGACATGACTAAATGGGAACAGAAATACCTTGAGGAAAGCGTGATGAGACAGTTTGCTTTGGATGCAGCAGCAACTGTGGCTGCTCAGAGGTAAATGAGACTATTCATAGCAAAGGTTTATTTTTTCCCTCTTCAGTGAAGTGTCATGTCATATTTCCAGCTGATAGGTGTTGCCAGAAGTCTCTCTTTGCTGTGAAACCTCCCTTTGCTGTCCAAACATTATCCCTTCTGCTGGAGACCCTGCCTAGTTACCAACATTTAAAACCTTTTTCCAGGGGAATTTTCCTCCCAAAATGAAAGTGGTATTTGTCATACTAAAATTCTTTTGAGCAGTTCCTAGAAGCTTGTTGACTTCAAATTTAAAAAAAAAAAAAAGATGTTTTGAGCAGTAAAAGTTTTACAGGAATCTGTCCGTGCTGCAGTCATGTGAAATGGGGTAAGCCTGGTGATTCACATCATTCACCCTGAATGGCATAGTTGTTCTCTAGACTGTTTTTGCAAAATATTACTTTGTGGTATTGTCCACAGTATGGCTGCTGACCAGAGATGTATCCTGAAAAATTCCACTCCAAGCAGTCTGCTGTGCATGGATGGCATTTGCAGGGACAAGAGGAGAAGGGTGTCTGAAATTTGGTATTCAGCTTAGATTCCAAGATTACTGCCCAGAAATACTTATTATAACTTGCTGTAAATAGGCGTCTGTGTTTGTAGCTAACTAGTAAAAAAGTGCTTCTGACAGAATGCTAGGCTTCAGCATTAGCTAGTATTTGCCTAGGATTTTATTACTGCCAGTTCCAGACAGAACATTTTTGTTTAGTTCCTGCGGTTTGTTTCATAAACCAGATTCAAATGTAGATGCTGCTGTGGCTTTGGCACTTTGATTATGCAATCAGAGTACAAATCAGCAGGGAGAGTTACAGGGTCTGCTCTGTTAGCATGTCAAGAGCTATCTTATCTTAGTCCAGAAGCAGCCTCTTGTGCAGTGTTTCCCACCTCCCCAGAAATTCTCAAAAAGGCCTCTCGCTTGCATTTCCCCAGGGTCTGTTATATTTGCAGCGCATGCTGATAAGATCCTGGTCTAAGGCTTGTCATATACACAGACAGAGGTCAGGTTAAACCTGTTCAGGTTTTAGGTGAATAAACAACCGAAATGTTTACAGGGTTGGGAAAGATCCCATCTTGTGGACGCTGCTTTCTTGCCGCCTTTTAGCTGCCATTTTTTTAAAGGAGAGGACAGCTCTATTACCACCCAATCATCCAAAAGTTAATTGAAAAACTTTAGACCAGTCACCTTCCCTCCGAGTGTCCCTTCCTTCACAGGGCACTATCCATTTTGGTCAGAACCTCACCCATAGTCCACTGAAATTTGCTGTTCCCTGAACTTGACAGTAGAAAATAACTAACATTCAAAACAGTCATGGAGCAGAGGTTGCAGAAAGACTTGTTGACAGTAAAATAATGAATCTCACCCATGCTAAGTTCTCCAGGTGAATAGTCTTTTTATACCCCTCAGATGGGAACTTTGCTATGTACTACGTCCTCGTTCTGGGTGTTGGCTGGGTGAGCTATGTTGTCCAGTCAGTTCTTAGCACTGCTGGATGTGGAAAACCAAAATTAGTACATTACCATTTGTAGCCAAAGGTACCTCGGGTCTCCTTCAGCCCTTTTCATTCTCGTTACTTAGTGTACATTCATGGCTGTTGTTGCTTCCAAGGACCTAACTAGATGCCCTACCACAATGTGCCCTCCCACAACACAGGCCCACCTCAGTTGAAGTTAAAAGCCTTTCTTGGACTCTTCTGCTCATTAGTAGCCACTTTCTGGTACCTGTTATGGCAGGGGTGGGCAAAATGCAGCCCGCAGGCCAGATATGGCCCACCAAGCCATTGTATCTGGCCCGTGGGGCCCCTAAAAATTTAGAAAATTAATATTAATTTATTAATCTGCCATGGGCTGCCTGTCATGTGGCCCTCAATGGCTCGCCAAAACCTAGTAAGCGGCCCTGCGCCCAGAATAATTGCCTGCCCCTGTGCTATGGCCTGGCATCTTACAGGACAAGTGGAATTGTATTGGTAGTAGATTGAAAGACAAATCACAGTCTTAAAATGCAGAGTGCTACGTAATAATCAGCATAAACTTTATCCTATTCTGACACATTTGGGCTGAGATGCTCAAACCACTTGTGGTTTCCAGTTTCTGCAATTCTGAAAGTCTGTCAAGAATGTTTGGTGTGGGTTTAAGCAACACAAGACAAAACAAACCAGAAATGGCAGGATAATTTCCCTAGATACTAAAATACATATGAAGTTTAATTATATACTGGCATGACATTTTTGGGACGTGTTCAGAAGAATATGCTGTGTGCTATGTAGGAGAAGTGGTGGAAGAAGACTGCTTATGCTCCATCATCCAAACAATACGTTGGAGAAACAGCATTTAAGGCAACACCTATAGATCTGAGTGCAGGCGAATTCAGTATTTTCCAATTTAAAAGGGGACAAGCACTTGTGGTGCCATTTTCTCATACCCCTTCTTCACCTTGTCTACAAGGAATTTTGCTCAGGTTTAAATAAATCACTTTAAAATCACACCTTTAATTGTGAACTGCATGGAGATGAAACCATTGTTTTTAGTCACTTTAAAGCATCCTCTAAGCCGTTATTTCTTCAGAGCTGCAGGTGGATTTTTTTAGTCAGAAATGAGGACACTGAACCAGGCATTATTCACAGAACATATTTATTCCCAGTAAAGGATTGTAGTTACTCAGAGTTCTCTATATCCCTTCTCAGGGACACAACTGTGATCAGCCACTCGCCTAATGCTAGCTATGACACTTCCCTGGAAGCTCGCATTCAGAAGGAAGAAGAGGAGATCCTGCTGGCTAACAGGAGGTGTCTTGATATGGAGGGCAGGTAAAATGCAGTTCATTCTTTACAATTGGATGGATTCTTTACAATTGCAAGTTTATGTTAACTGTTGAGCCAAATGACTGAGAGTCATGACATTGGTTGTTGGCATGATCGTTAATAGCAATGAAGCATGCCAGGACATTGGGTTGTGCTTTCTTGCTTGAGCAGGCAATGCATTGTCTTCAGTATTGAAAAAGGTTGGATTTCTGAGCAAAAATATCCTCTCAGATACTTGTGGATAGGGGGTTGTTTTTTGTTTTTCTCCATTCATATTTCCCTGCTTTTCCCTTTCCTCTTCACCACATTCATATGGGCACATTTGTTTAATACTGAGCTTAGATCTTTTTGCTTCTGGGAATCTTTATCCTTGTATTTGGTATGGTGTAGATTCTCTGAGGTGACTCTCTTCCTTACCCTTCTCATTCCTGACCATAAGTTTCAGATCTAAAAGCTGCAGCCTCTTCAGCAACTGCTTACAGTAGCCCAAGGTAAGGTAAGCAACTAGTTCCATGAAACTCTCCCTGTGTAGAAAGGCTTATGCACACAATCTGCCCCTGGGCTATACTTGGGACAGCAGGTATTGGTGTTCAGGTTTGTTAGCTCAGCTGGATTCTCCTACAATGGATTTGAGGCATGGATCTGATGATACCATTTTTTGTTCTTCTCCCAGGATAAAAACACTCCATGCTCAAATCATTGAAAAGGATGCCATGATTAAAGTCCTTCAGCAACGTTCTCGGAAAGAGACCAGTAAAACAGACCAGCTCTCCTCGATGAGACCAGCCAAGTCCCTCATGTCAATTTCCAATGCTGGATCAGGTCTACTGTCCCACTCTTCAACGCTGAGCAGCACTCCCATATTGGAAGAGAAGAGAGAGGATAAAAGCTGGAAAGGCAGTTTAGGTAACTTTATAAATAGCAGCAAGAGTTATGTTAGAGTTCTGTCTAAACCACTGTGTAAGCCAGTCACTTGGGAGGGTGCGCACAGTGAAAGGAGATCATACAATCAGCCCTATGATAGGCTTCAATTATATATGATGCTGCCTTGCAGCCTGTTGACTCCTGTGCACTAAGCAAAAATGTATTGGATGGAGCAAACTGAGAACAAACATCTTTTATGGGTAGAGTTCCCCAGGTGGGAGCGGCAATGCTTGGTTCTAGTCCAGGTTGTGCTACTGAAACCCTGTTGGACTGCCTTGAAGGGCTCAGAGCTGAGATTTGGGGAAAGTGGGTTGCAGTAGTGTAACTAGGGATGGGTGAGTAGGGCAAGAATAGCAGCTACTGCCACAGCCCTAGCTATCACTGCTGCCCAGGGTGCAAAAGCTGCCTGTTACACCTCAGGTAGGTTGTAAAGAGGCCAAGTTGTAGGTAATTTTCTGTTGGCTTTGGGCCTGCTCCTCCTGCCAGTGACTTTAGCACAGACTCTGGGCCCAGTCCCACCTCCAGGTTATAAAAATGGAAGGGGTTTTGTGATATCAGTGTAAGGATGAGTGAGAGGAATGAGGAAAGGAAGTGGGAAGGGGGTAGGGAAAGGAAAGCAGTCTGTCTGGTCGCTAGAGAAAAGGCAAGTGAGAAATAAGTGTATTCCAGTACTGCCACCATCCTGTTACCAGGTCTGGAATGTGGGGCTAGAGCTGTCCTTTGTGAAGCACTTTGAGACCCACACATGAAAATGGTATGGAAGTGCAGAACAGCACTACTGCAGGAGCCTGTACTACAGCCTTTTGAGCCTTGATGCTGTTTATCCAGAAGCACTTTTTAATCTGCTTGGCTGTCTTTCCCTGAAGGTGTTCTGCTGGGAACAGAATACCGCTCGGAGTCCATTCCTTCAACCCCCTCGCCCGTCCTCCCCTCCACCCCACTGCTGTCTGCGCACTCGAAAACAGGCAGCCGAGACTGCAGCACTCAGACAGACAGGGGGAGCGACCAAAACAAAGCTGCTTCTTCCACCATGGCCCCTCCTCAGGGGCGACTCCCTAGCACCAGCCTGGCCTACAGTTCAGACAAAACAGGTAATGGGCCCTAATGGGTCTCCTTTAGAGCACTTGTGTTATTTCATAGTGATTGCTGCTGCTATGTTAACCGCTGTGTAAAGGCTTCTGAGGTTGCCAGAACTGTAGGCTTTGCTGTTCGCATGGTGATGTGGGTTCGATGGTTATCACAGTAAAATTTGGAGGTTCCTCTGGGGCTAACCCCAGAAGGCAAGAAGTGGAGGGAGTGTGTGGGGCCACTCCTAGTCAGTGCAGGCGTGAGAGTTGGCACTGTCCTGCCTTAGACCTGGGCAGAAAGGGGTAAAAAATTGGCTTCAGAAAGAAGTCAGTGCAGGGCAGATGGTCAGATTCAGTGATGAGACAAATGATGCAAAAGTGGCACATTGGGTGTAAATAGCTCTAAATGGGTATTAGAGCAAGGAGTGTAACCTGCACCAATTTGGCTTTTGAGCTGCTGTGCGAAAGCCAGCATCAGTAGGTGGCTCAAGGTGGGTGGGGCAAGAAAAGCAATGGACAGGGTGAAGCTCCCCCCTTTACCGTGTCTCAACACTCACTCCTGGAAATAAAATCAGCACTGGTATAAGTGAGTCTAGCCCGCAGTGAGAGTTAGTGGGAAGCCATATTTACTTCTGAAATAATTCCAGGCTGCTCTCCCATTTCCATAGTCCAGTCCATTTCAAATTCAATGCAAGTGATGTGACTTTGTCTCTCATGTTTTGTGACCACTTTGTACCCCATGTGGAATATATGGACTTTTTAAAATCAGATGAATTTGAGCTCTCTGTGTGCATTTTATTCCTGTAATTTTATTTAGTGCCTGTAAGAGAGACAGAGGGACAGATTATGATCTCTTTTAAATGGATGTAAATCTGTGACTGTACCAGATTTCATACGTAGTCATTAAAGTCCAAAGTGAACTGTAACATTTATAAGTGAGATACTTGAAGAGAACGGAAGAACTAGAGGCAGCATTTGAATTAAATAAATAAAGTGCCTTCTGACCAGGGGCACAGACCAACTTTCCAGAATGGGGAGGGAACTCTACTGCCTTAATCATGTCTTCACTAGACTTGGTGCCTGCAGTTGGAGTTAGAGCTTGATTCTTTCTGTTTTGTTTCCTCCTCTTAATATAGATGGGCCAGTTTTCCACTCCAGCACTCTTGAAAGAAAAACCCCAATTCAAAGCCTGGGGCAGGACCTCACTGATGCCGAAATGGTGGAATACCTCATCTGAAAGGCAGACCGTGCATTGGCGCTGGGACACAATAGCAAGATTTTTTTTTTTTTTTAAAAGACATTTTTTATTAAAAGGGGGAGGGGGGAAATCTTGTACCTGAGTAATAAAAGGACCGCTCAGTTTTTCGCTCTTGTATATTATGTCTCAAAAGTGTGGACAGGTTAATTTATAATTTGTTCTAAATTATAAAATACTTGTTCTTTGAAAGTTCCTTCCATTCTTTTAAAAAATACTGGATCTAGTAATATCCCTCCCCTTTTTAAAATACTGGATCTGGTAACTGGAGAAAAACCAAGGTCTTAAATGCACTAAATTTTATTTTTAATTTCAGTATTTTTTAAATCTTGTGGGGGTTTTTTTAAGTACTTATTTCACAGCAGTTGGTTAATTGTTTAGCTTGAATGCAACAAGATGGATGTAATGACTTGACAAGTGTGTTCGACACCAGATCACACAATGACATTGTAAAAACCAGAACTAGTTTGTGGTGCTTTGTTGTGTGTCACAACTTCAGAACGCAGGTATTTTTGAGTTGCCTAGGGAGATGTCTCTCTATTGCCCTCAGTGGTAAGAAGTCATCATGGCTATTCCGTACTCCAGGGCTGGGAAGATTCAGTTTGTGTGCCCGCACCAAAACATTTTTGTACTCTCTTAATCCCATTTTTAATAGCTCTAGTTTTTAAAATGTCAAATATGGCATTTAATCTATGTCAGAGGACTCCCTGTATTATCAGACATGAATACTGCAGAGTGATTTATGCAGTGGATAATACAATGAATATTAGCAACTCAGTGTACTGCATTAAACCTCTATGGAGATCTTTTCTTATGGCAGTCTTTCTTCTGTTCCAAATCCCTTTCCAGTTGGTCTGTCTCTCCTTCCATCAGGTAATAAATTCCCTTTCATCCAGGGAAACTGCAGCTAGGGTCTCACCCAAGGTTAAAGCTCCAGTATGTTATTGCCAAAAGTTTTACATTTCAAATATTGCCTTCCCCCACCTAATGGGGAAAAAGCAAGAGTTTTTTGTATTCTCAAGTATTGTAAAATGTTGCACGTTTCCTGCTAGTTTCTAGTCAGTTTCACTTCCCAGTTGAAATTGCAAAAGTTCTTGGCACTAGGGTCACAAGTGCTGCAGAGGTACAGTTAAACTTGGAAAACATTTTGGAGGGTTTTTTTCAATTTTATGGGCAGCCTTTTGTTCTTAGTTTGTATTGAAAGTTCTGGTTTTAAATGGCATATTTTACCATCTAACAAGGCAGTTTAAAGCAACCTAGTTGATCCCAATGTTCCCTTCCTTATTTATAGTAGCCAGATTTTGCCATGGAATGAAATAGCTTCAGGTTAAAACACAGCCTAATACTGCCATATCCTGAGCACCCTTTGCATGGACAATACTTGGAATCTTTCAGAACTAGGCCCGAAGCACAAGGGGCGTACAGGGGGTGCAGAATTATTCTCCATCAGTACTCCGTGTTGCCTCTAACTAATCCCCCTTCAAGAGAACCGAAGGAAATGGCCTTAACAGCTTAGTGGAAGCAGCATGCATTTTACTGGGGAGCTCATGTGGGTTCCAGTAGGCTAGCTGCTTGCTAAGGTTAAATCAGTGAGCACTCTTAGACCCATAAGAGTTAGAAGTGGGTCTAGGCTCAATACCCCTATTGACTCTTGAGCCTGAATATAGCCACTGTGCAGGACAACTCAGAGCTGTATTTTAAAAAGCTTGGTCTCATCTCTGCCCCATAGATCACAGGCTTTCTGCTGGTCATAGTAGGATTGATCCTTTATTATTTTTTTGAGACTATTTTCTCTCCCCTTCCCAAGACCCTCCACAGCCCATAACTATCTATGTTGGGAATAGCATATATTTGTTTTTTTCTTTGCTTCATTTCATATCATTCTGTTGAGTAAGACCTAGTCTGGATAAACCTAAGCCATCTTTCTCCTTCCTTTGTAATCACTGGAAACACAGCAGCTAGGCCTTTCTGCTAGCCACCTTGTCCTTCCAGCCATTTCAGGATTGCCTTTTATCACACAGTTTATGGGTTTAAAAAGAATGAACAACAAATGAGATAGAGTGTGTATAGCTGTGAGAGAGAAATTCAAGGTGAGAAGTACAAGTATTTCCTTTGCTGTTTCAAAGTTAGGGAGAAAAAATCAGACTATTATATCTACCAGCAGCTGGAAAGGTGTTTGATAGCTTGTGGGAGTGCTGCTTCTTCCACCTTAACTCAACTGAGCTACACAGGAAGGAGCTGGATCATTTAGGCACATATCTGATTTTGGAAAACTGGATTTTCTAATCAGTGTGTTGATGGTTGAAGTGGAACAGTCAGTCATAGTATGTACATGTACATACATGTATGTACATCCTTTTTTTCAACTCATTGCTGGTAAACAAAATTCCATTTTATTTAAGATAATTAAAAAAAGATAGAGACTTAATAGCTTTTTGTGAACAAAATCTGTAAGATGTACAGTACAAACTACAAAAACCTCAGTATCAAGTGGTTGCATTGGCAGTTCTCTACAAAGACAAATGACACCCACAGTTTCACACTGCTTTGACCAATTCCTTGCTTTCATGCCTTATTTTCTAGGGTTGACTTCATGAGTTAAGTTCCCTTCCTCTCACCCTATTCAGCCCTTAAGAGGAAGAAAACAGAAAAGCAGCCTAAAAAAAAGTCTTGTACAAGTTGGGAATTTGAAAGCATTGTGGGGCTGATAAACTAGGAACCATCAGAAATAGGTGCTTCTCTTAGGACTTCATTAAACAGTCCTGCTGTGAATCTAAAATTGCTGCTTTCATTTGGGGGGAATTGTGTAATATAGTTTTCAGTCTCTTTCTATAGACTTTTTTCTCTTTTGAAAACAAAAATCTACTTAAAGCCAAACTGCATGCCTAGCTCTTTTCTGTCTCTTGCTTCTAGGTATAAGTTTAAAATGCAGCATAAATTGCAAGGACCTTCCATTTTTCAAGCCAAACTTTTAGACTAAGAGTTGCCTTAAACTCGGGTAATTAGAAGCAGAATTGCAGCTTTTGTAAGGAGAGCCACATATTCCTCTCAGAGAGCAAAACAAGAATCAAGTTCAGTTTATTTATTTTTTCCTCCTTTAAATGCTTATAGAGTGGCCAATCCAGCAAATCCTTTCCACTGGGAAATCCATTGCGATTCAGTTGCACAGAGACATCCGATAAAGAGTCTTTCATCACTATTTTCTTTGTTCTGATCTGATTCAGTGTCATCACTAGTGATTTTAAATAGCTCCCACCAGACACTTTTGTGTTGACCTAGATAGAATCATAGAAAAGTAGGGCTGGAAGGGACCTCTAGTTCAGCCCTCTGCTCAAGGCAGGATCATCCCTGGCTTGACTTGGTAGGTTCTCTTGGGAGCTGCCTGGGTGGGGAGGTTTGTAAGACAGGTCAAAAAAAAGTTACCAACAATAGTTCATGGTCTAGAAGCCCATGCAGATAACTCAAATTCTATATAAAAAGATGTGCATACAGCTGTGTTGTATGTGCCAAGGTAATGCTACCATAGTCTCTTAAGAAATCTGTACAGTGAATCCTTTCACCCAGGGAAATTGCAGTTAGGGTCTTACCCAAGGTAAATCTCCACCATGTTAATCGCCAAAAGTTTTACATTTCAAATATTGCCTTCCCCCACCTAATGGGGAAAAAGCAAGCGTTTTTTGTATTCTCAAGTATTGTAAAATGTTGCAAGTTTCATGCTAGTTTCTAGTCAGTTTCACTTCCCAGCTGAAATTGCAAAAACAGTAGCCACCAAAGAGGGTGGTCTTAATCCGCTTGTTACAAGGCTGGCAGTGTAACACAGTGCAGCTAGCATGGAGGAACTTTTATGGGTCCTTTGAATTTGACAACCTTCCCCCCATGAATGCTGGCAAACTATAGCACAGGATTCACTGTACTGCTATACCGTGTTGAATGTTTTTGCTCCAGATGGGGCGGGGGAGGGGAAGGTTCCCTTTTCATGTATTTGTATAGGAACTTTTTTAAAGAAGTTAGCATTTGTAATGTCTAGAAGATAAAAGACATAGCCAATGTAACTGTACTGTATTTATGAAAAAAATACACAGCTTTTCATAAAGATCTTACTCTAGGGTGGTTTTAGTCTTTGATTTCTAATATTGTTTCTTAGGCTTGCAGAAGAAGCATTGAAACCCAGCTCTTTTTTTCACTGTGTTACATTCAGTGTAAAACCAGAGGTGAGCTAAACACCTGTGGTAAATAGGAAACCTCCTCCTCCCTTCTAATTTAAAACAAAGCACACTTGAGTTTCAGTTCTCACATGTTTGAGTGAGTACATTTTCATTCCTCTCCTATTTCTGGCTGGGACCAGAAGCAGGGGTGTTGAAGTAACTTCAGAAACTATGCTTGGGAGACTTGCCTGGTGAAGTTCAGCTCAACACCCAAAAAAAAGTTGTCTTGATGCTTGTCAAGACCTTTGGAGATTTGACTTGGCATAGAAGCCTGTTCTCACAGCTGCTGAAAGCAATGGCAAAATGCCCATTGACTCGAGTGGTGAGAGACAAAGCCCTTAAAAAGAGGTATCCTTCCTCTATGACTTCACTTCTGTAGTTCTCTCCCACTTGTAGGATAGTAACTATTAGGTGGAATAACATTTCATGATTATTTGGTTTCCCTGGAGTTATGACCAATAGGGAAGAGCCGGACAAAAGTGACCAATGTGCTGCTTATTTTGACTATCCAAAATATCAAAGAAATGAATTGAAATCAAGTTTCTTATTTAAAAGCAACCAACCTTAAGAATAAAACTTAATTAGAGAATAGTCTTTTCTATATAAATCTATATTAAAACAAGCTAAATGGTTTTTTTTTGTTTTTGTTTAAACTGTCAAGTTGATTTAATAAGTTATGAAATGAGCTGTTTTCTAATACAACTATTGAAATATCCCTAAAACATCTTTGAAGAATGTGGCAGCTTTAATCCTAGAAAAAGTGTAAATATGCGCTATGTGTCTTGTGAATGTCTGTCATCATGTCTGTAGGTAGCCATAAAATATCTTGTGTGTTTTCTAAAAGTGAATCTTGTGTTTTGAATGGTTATTATCATCATTGTGGGCTTGCTCCTTCCCCTCTTCCTTCCTTTCCTTTCTTTTTTTTAAGTGTAAGGACTTATTCTAACCCACACAACCATATCAGATATGCA